ATAATAATAATAATAATAATAATAATAATAATAATAATAATAATAATAATAATAATAATAATAATAATAATAATCTCATAGGAGAATTAAAGTTGTATAAAAATTAATTGCTGAGTGAAAAAGGGTGACAAATAAATTTTCACACACTGGACTTTTCCGAGAATCCATATTCTCGCTAATCATCCAACAAAACAATTGTCCGGTTCTTATCGTCTGGCGTATGTTTTACTTTACCACCAGAGGTGTCACCCCGTAGTATATACCGTATACGGTGGAATATTACGGTCATTAATCAATGCCAGGTCTCGGCCGAGGTGACGAGGTCTGACGTCCAGGGCGTTCCTCTCTGGCGTTCTGCTTCTCTTCAAAAGTGCCGTGTCGACATCGGCTTGCCTCTCCTCTTATCCTCTCTCCCATTATATTACAGCCATCTCCGTAAACGTTATGAATGCAATGCACGATGTTGCGGGCACAAGATGTTACACTCACCGATAAAAAGTTAACGCTCGATTCTGTCAACTATGAAAATTCAAATTAAAGAGTAAATGACTTTTGTGGAATGGCCATTAAAAATTATCCCGAGAAATAGAATTATTGTTCAGGATAAAAAAAATAAATAAATAAAACGAGTTGGGGGAGAGAATGGGGGAGTGGGAAATGCGTTTTTAATTCCGCATAAGTCCGTATACCATTCGTCTGTCGGCGTTTTTCCTCTGGGGAAAAGACGTTATTAGCGGAGGCATTAATCAGACGGTGGGTTAGGAGGGGTGGTAAGGATAAGAGCAAGAGGAAGAGCAAGAGGAAGAGCAAGAGGAAGAGCAAGAGGAAGAGCCCAAGAAAATGCCAGCGGGCGGTGGGTGAGATATGAAACGATGGAAAACTTAGGGCAACTTTACCACCCCTTATCATCCACCCTAGCAGCGCCTCCCTCGGATCGCGGATCAACCTCTTTAATGAAAAGAAAAGATGGCGTCTCGTCGATGCAGAGGGGCTTCTCTTCTCGTCAGAAACCACTGGGAGTACCTCAGAAAAATCATGCCACCTGTTTATCTCGGGGATTAATTTTAACGCCGCCTTGCATGGATTAAAATTATTTTCATTAATTTGTTTAAACAATATATATTCAATATTTATTCATAAAATCAAACACGATATAACAATTTTTTATGGCTTCAGCTAATTAATGCATTGGAATATTAATTGAAAATTAATTGCGGTGAATATGACGAGTAATGGAAAGGGTGATAAACTTTTGTTTTGACTGTACCTGCAGGACATCCTTAAGGTCTCGTTGATTTTTATTTAAAATACATAAGTTTAATGTTCGTTTGAACTTTTCATTCTGGAGATTATTTTTCAATGAAGAAAATCCTTATTTGGTTTTCGTCTGTTTTTCCAGCCACCTTCATTTTTCCTTTACAATGGCGAGCGAACGCGGAAAGAAAAATCACCAGTTCTCATTACGCTCGACACGTAGGCAGCTTTATGAGTCCAGCTATAGAAGGAATCTTCTGCCGTTGGCTCGCGCGCGAGGAGATATTATTTATTTCGTAAATTAACTCCAGCCCGGGCCAGAAACGTGACTGGAAAATCTTTGGATTTTCACGCGAGCTCTTTCGCGCGGTTATTAATCGATCCCATTCCTCGCTTCTAGTTCTTGTCTAAGTCCGATCTCTTTGTCTTTTTTCGTCTTGTTGGAAAGTATTATTTACGTTATATCTGGACGGGTGCAAACATTATGTGGAGTGTCATTTAGGCGGGGAATTATTCATAAGAAGTGGAAATATTGCAGCTGCAGTGGGACTGCGTCGAATTATATTCTTGGGCTTCCAGTTTGTTTTAATACTCAGGATAGAATCGAATCCGTTTCCTCTCAAATATTACTCTTTCACTCATTCCACTCGATGTCATTTCGCTATTAAACTTCATCACTCAGAAAAAATATCTTCTCTAAAATTCGCATGTTCACCTCCCAGACACTCACTACTTTCTATTTCGAATTTCTTCTAATAAATTTTTTTTTCAGTTCAACTTCAGTATATACAGAATAAAACACGCAATAAAATCAATTTTTTAATAATGTTGAGAAATCAAAAACCCAAATCAAAAAGTATATAAATAAAGTATAATTAAAATAAAAAATTATCTCTACAAAAAAAACAGGAATATTTTTAAACTGTCTCCAAAATTTTTTGGTCTTTCAATTTTTTTTTAAATTTTTTCTCATTGACCTGCGGCGATCTCGAATAGCATTTCTGCAGTTGATAAAAATTAAAGGTCCTTCCTCACCTTCACCTCTTGCTGCTGTGCTGACATATACTCGTAGAATAAATGAAGAAGTAAAGAACGAGGGGTGCGATGCGCGCGTGACGGGCAAACGAGATTCGTTCGCCACATCTCCCGCCCTATTTCTCATTTATATTTCACTGATTGCCGTTATTTCTTCCGTTTCATTAAGTTTCCCAGTGACCAGCCGCGCATCTTCTTTCATTCCTTATCGCGCCATGTGTGGATTTTCGGGAGAAAAGAGGAAATCAGGACGTGGCATAATTGCTAGGGGAGGCAGAGGTAATGAGGGCGAAGAGATTATAAGATCGATGTTGAATTCATCATAAGTTGAAGCATGTGGCAGAGTTGATGCACGCGACTGTTTTCTCAAATATTTTCTTCAAAATTTTGACAATCACCCAGAAGAAGTACTCAGTACTAAAGGTATCAAGCAATCGAGGACGGATTTTTCTCCAGCGAGTACGAGAGAAAGGATATCAAGAAGAGAGACACGTGATACGCTTTATATACGCGATCCTTATCTCCCAGCCACGGGCGCATTGCATGTCATCGGCAATATCGTTTTCTTTTTATTTCACTTATTTATCATGAGATAAAATTTAACCAGCCAACATCAGTACCCGGTAAACAAACGCCAATCCACCATTTATTTTTTTTTTCATTCCCCAACTCCCTCCAGACAATATTCAGCGTTTAACTGAGATTGATCACTGAAGAATCATAAAATTATAATTGATACGCTCGGTATGACTGAATAGAAGAATTTTTACCGCTAATAATCGGGGGCAAAGTGGATCACTGGTATTATGTATAACGTCTGGAATATATGCTCGTGAAAAATGATTTACCCAGCGTCTAAAATTTTGAACAAAGGGCGCATGCGTGATTAGCCATCAAAAAACTATCTGCCAATGGTTTTTGCAACTCTGCTCACCTTTTTTCTCACCGGTCTAATTATCGTGTTACGCGCCATAGTAATTATGATGATCCGATCGTGTGGCCTCGGGGGGTCGCCTGGAAGCACTTCTCGCAGAGTCCTCTTTAAAATTCCTCTGACTAGGACTCAACCATGACGAACAACATTTCATACAAACCACAGGGTTCGACTATATTTAGAGGTGGTCCTAGTAGCTTCATATGTACACAAATCATATCAGTCTATAATTATGCCAATCCTAAAACACCGAGTGCTAAAAATTTTAGGTGTTAGAATTTTAAAATCCAGTGTTTTACGTTTTAAAATTATATATTGACTCTATTGAGACACTTTACTATTTTGTGGGAGTGAGTAGAAAGTACTTGTGGAATTGCCTCAAGTTTTTCTGAAATCATTTTCTACTCATTTCCTAATTCCGGATAGAAATAATTACACAATCAATCTCTTCGCGATTAATCGAGGGCTTCAATAGTTTTTTCTAGTTCATTTCCATAGTCTTCTAGGAGATTCTCCTTGTATGGTAGTAATTTCCCTTCACTCAGGATGATCTTCAACCAGTGACTCGAGAGTTTGGGGGTTCTCTTCCGGTTTGGGTCCTTGAAATCTACATGAATAAGCCCGAACGTTTGCCTGAAGAAAAATTAAAGACATATTTTTAAAAAATATAAAACCGAGAATGTCTGGATGAACTGGACATCAGAGACATTTTTTAAATATTCATAACTCAAGGATAAATTGATCAATCGAGGATTAATCAGTTGAGCTTATTATATACACAGGAGGATGTACAGGTTTGAAAAAAATTCTGAAATATCCGTTTCACTTCTGGTGAAGTTTTCCGTTGTTTCAACTCACGCATATCCATTGAACCACTCGTAATTATCCAAGAAACTCCAAACAGTATACGCCCTCACATCACACCCATCACGTTTGGCCATCAACACCTCCTTCATGTAGGAATATAAATAAGCAATTCTATCGATATCCATAAAATCAGCTATTTCACTCGCTCCGTTCTCCAGGATATAAACTGGTGGGTTATTATAATCCTTCGATATCTTTCTGAGAAGTGCGCTCATGCTCTCAGGAACAACCTGTGAATAACGGATAAATTTTTCAATTCTAACAAAAAAAAAAAAACAAAATTTCGGAAAAAGCTATTGAAAAATTCATGTTCTCACTCCCCATCCTATCGCTGTCAGTTTCCAACTAGGATCATTACTGAAAATTACGCCTGCATCATCATACCATCTGCCATTACTCTTCTTTACAGGTTCGACGAGTGTTGTTATGTAATGATTCAGCCCCAGATAGTCCGCAGTTCCTCTAGAATACAACACAAAAAAAAGATCCCACAATAATTTAAATATTTTTCCTCTGAATTTTGGATTGACTATTCCAACTCACTGTATGTAATTAATCCATTTATCCGAGAATTCTGGTAATCTAGAAGAGACTAGTCCCTCGGCTCTACTATTCTCCGCAATTCTTTGTTTCATTACTTCAGGATATCCGCCCTTTTTGGAGTAAACGGGATTCATTACCCATGCAGTATTGAAGTCAAAAGCGATATCGGTACTTTCAGTGTCACCTGCTGTTTTCGGTATGTAATATGCACTACTGATGATTAGACCAATTTGGCCATGCTGAATCGATCGGAATTCCTCATCATAAATGTGATAGGCCCTGGCATGTGCTTTTAATACATTATGAGCGCAAAGATAGCTTGCTCTGTACGCTGTTGCCGATGGTAATCGCAGAGAAAAATAATAAGAGAAATCGAAATCAATCAGATATCGTTATTATCTACTGGTGATAGCTACCTGTGTCTGGTGTAGTTTCATTTAGATATGCAAACCATTTGCAGAAGATGTTGACTTCGTTGAATGTACTCCAGAATTTAACTTTGGGTCCAAGCTCTCTGAACATAACTCTTGAATATTCAGCGAAATATTCCACCATCGATTCGTTAGCCCAACCTCCTGTTTTATTTACTAGCAGTTGGAGATCGTCAAAGTGATGCAGCGTGACGAAGGGTTCGATACCATTTTTCAGTAATTCGTCTATGAGATTTTTGTAATACTGGATTCCATCCTTGCTGATTATATCTGGAGTTCCAGTTGGCAAAACTCGGGACCAACTTATGGAGAACCGATAATGGTGCAGCTGGAAGAAGCATGTGTCATAAAATTTACAGAGAGATTCTCATAACGTATAGTTAATTAATGATTATTAATTTTAAGATATTTACACCCATGTTCTTTGCTATTTGTACGTCTTCTTTGTACTTGTGATAAGAGTCACAGGCTATATCTCCGGTGTCATTGTTGTTGCTTAATGATGGACACTTGTGCAGAAGGTAATCCCATACATTCTCGGCCTTATCACTTACGTTCCATGCACCTTCGATTTGATAAGCAGATGTACCAGCGCCGATAGAAAATCCGTCCGGAAATGCAAGGGACAATTCATCCTGAGCAAGGACACCCCTAAATTTTTTAATTTATCAAAGAAATCATTTGATTACAGATTGAAATTTCATTGATTATGTTCATGACGATCAATGGCGGTCAGGAGGTATGAACAATTAATTTTTTTGGTCTATATTTAATTATAATACAAAATTACTCTTCAATTTTATGAAATCGAAAAAATTCGAAAACTGAAGACGTTAGTTCGCAATTTATTATTTTTCTGTTGAAGTTTTTCAATTGATTAATTTGTTTAATTTCATACCTCAGAATATGCACAACGATCAACGCGAATATCATCTGCATATTCAATGATCGAGTGGCAATTGACGACTGAACAGAATTGAGACAGACCCTTCCATATATCGGGGTTTTGAGGGGCATTCGATTTAAAAAAGATAGATACTTGTGCAAAGTCTATAAATGCATTTCGATTAGATAACAAGCAATCGCGATTATCTGATAAAATTAATATATCATATAAAATTATTAATAAAATTAATAGAATCAGTATTTCATCAGAAATTTTGCAGTTTGAATGTGGAAATCGATTGATTTATAAGAATAATTTATGGCTTTATTATTATTCTTGGCAAAAAAAACCACGACTTTCATGAGAAAAGTTATATTACAGAAGAAAAATAAATAATTTTCTTAAGGCTCTGTCGCGCGACAGTCTCTGTAAAAAGTTTATGCGCTGTAAAAAGGCGGAGATTAAAGCACAATCTGTGGACAGAATATAGACTCACTTGATTACATTGTGTAAGGACAGCTAAAATATATATTTTCCACGGCAATTATTCTTAATTATGTACATTTATCATTTTAATTATAATTTTCTGTAATTGTTCCTCGGAAATAAAAAGGTCAATTGATGGATTTTTTTTGAGTGCATTCAATGATCAAAAAATATCGAGCCGTTGATTAAAAAAAATCATTATCCATGACGATTCATTTAAACACATCCTGGAGTCATCCAGGTTTCAAAAATTTATATCTGAAGGTCAAAAAGGGCAATCCCAAATAGAAATTAATCATTTTGCAGCCAAATTTTTTTGAAATATTCACCATAAAAATTTAAACAAGAACTGTCTAGTAAATATTCTAAAGGAATTAGATTTGAGATTTTCTCTTTGATTTTTGTTCTTTCGTGGTGTGAATTTTGGACATTGTATAACTTTCTTTTATTTCTTTTTGTTGTGTTTTGCGTTGTTTATTTTTTTAAGTTTTATGAATTGAAAAAAAACGAAAAAAAAAATTCCGGTACCGGGAATCGAACCCGAGCCTCCTGGGTGAAAGCCAGATATCCTAGCCACTAGACCATACCGGATAATTGAAATTTGTTTCATTTTTTTCACTTATATGTTACCAAATGACCCAGCTTAAAATAATTCTGGTAAATATATAGTTTGATCATAACTAAATACAATTAAATATAAAATATAACTAAATACAAAATATAATTAAAATATTAACCCTGATAATAACGCCACGTCCTCGTGGTCTTGGATAACGCAGAGAGTAGTGTACTAAAAAACATATTTTGAAACCTAACCGATTCTTCCGAAAAAGATTTTCCGATCCAGAAATCAGGACCGGAAATCTGGACACTTCATCACAGGACATATAAAATGGTTTCGTGGGCTTAAACTAGATATCTACTATAATTTTACATACACAATGATACAGTCGAGATAACGATTTTTGATACATCAGTTGATGAAAAAATAAAAAAAATTCCGGTACCGGGAATCGAACCCGAGCCTCCTGGGTGAAAGCCAGATATCCTAGCCACTAGACCATACCGGATCACTGACAAAATGTTTCTTGTTTCACCTCGTGCCTTACCAAGTGGGTTAAGCTCGAGCAATTTTTATGAAATATTTATTATTGATAGTAGCGATTATCAATTGACTAATTAATTCTTAAAGGTGTTATTTGATGTCAATTTAAGAGAATGGGAACAAAAATCTGAACGGATTTTATCGCACGAAAATAAAAAAAAAACTGTATTAGATGTTTCAGGTTCATTTGAATCGCATGCAACAAATTATTTTGTTCAATCATAGCAGAAAAAAACGCAGAAGACTTTTCTCGACAGAGTTGACAACTTTTTAAATAGATCAATTACAACATTAACCAGAAATTAAAAAAACAAATAAATGGAAATAAAGAAAATAATTGCGATATCCATTTAACATTCAAAAATTTTTCGAAATGTTTCTAAATCAAGTTTCCACTATTTTCTTCATACGTTGAATTTTCCAACGATTTTCCGGTTCATTAGGAATCTGAATTACCATCCGCGCTGATGACGCAATTAAATGAATATGAAAAATGCACAGAGTAAAATTTTTGAAAGCCCGAATGGGCCAGAGCAATAATTGCATTATTAATTATCTTATCTTTCAACGATTAACTCTCTCGATTTATTCCACATTTGTATGAATTATCCGAGATGACATGTCCTCCTCGGCGCTGCTCACATTGGCACTTAGTATAACATGAAAGTAATGATGGTAGCCCGATGAATACAAGGATGGATCCATGGGCCTTGGATACACAGTACACCATCATCCAAAATGACGGTCCCTCCCTCTCTCTCTGACACAAGTGGCGTCTGAGCTGCCGGGTGATTCAGGATGCCAAGATGATCCTGCTTATTAAGTGGAGGCGAAGCCCGATGTACCTACCATACACCACCAACACCACCACAAATTCCCATAGAGAATGCCCAAGTTCACATAAAGAGAGGGTGGAGTAGAGGTGGAAGAGAATTCAGTGTATTATGGTGTGGCGATGCGAGGGAAGATGGAAGGATAGGTCGCTCCACAAACCGCTATTATTTATATTAAGTTTAATGCAAGTACGTGACTGAATCCATCGCATCTAACCCACAGCACTGGACCCCCGTATCATTAGTATACACCTATCATTGCATTACTCCACTGGGTGGTTGAATCAGGTATCCACCAAGAGGTAAAACGTGAGGACGACGATGATACGCCGATCTGTTATACACGGGTGCAGAACACCTGATATGTGCACGGAGGCTGATATTCGTGAGCAATGGAATATTTTTAAATTTCATTTCTCAATACCGATATGGAGGGACCAGGTTCATGGGTACGAACGAATGATTATAGGGGTGGCGCCTAGAACTTTTGGATGATTTACATCCCAACCAAACGTTCTTTAGTTCTAAATCTCTTGTGAGTCAAATATTAAGGGACTAGACGCGGCCCGTCCCTCCTGGCCAACATTCAAATCTTCTCTCTCAACCCTTTTCTTTTCACCTTCTTTTGAGTACCATAAATTCATCAGTGCTGTGAAATTACTGTAACTAGAACTCTCGGCCGCTTCCCAACAATCTATCAGGAATGACACTGAGGAAATTAATGAATCACCCTGTTCTCCGGGTAAATAGTTATCAGAAATTGTGGGGTTCGAGATAAAAACAATATCCAAGGTCACATCTCTGCAATTTACAGATGCCCTCAATTATGCAAGGTTTTTAGACACCGGGGCCTCATGGCACAGCCAACGGTCGTAAACGATTTCGAATAGACCCAGAAGAGGAGGAAGAGAGACCAGAGACTAAAGAGTGTAGTGTAGGGCCTCGAAAAACAAAAATTGGAAGAAACAAAAAAGTAGGAAAGAGACGCGAAGAAAGGCGCCTCTATGCGGTCTCTGGGTTAGCCAAATTACAGCTTCCACGTCAGGCTTTGATGATTGATGTGCTTGAGTCTGAAAATCATCTTCAATGCTTTTCCAGGAAATAAAATATCCAAAATAACCCTTGAAATAAAAAAAATTATTTACCCTTCACTCGACTGGCGAAAAATTCATGAAAAATTCATGCTAATAATGCGGCCAATCATAATTTAAATAAAAATTTTGAGTGTGGAAACGAGTTGAAGCCAATAAATCAGAAGAAATAGAAAGAAAGTATGAAGAAGGGGGATATATATGGATGCGGATCGTTATAAAGTTATAACGTTGGTATAGTTGAAAAGTTTTGTGAAAAGTTTTGCGAAAAGTTTTTCGGATCGGAAGACACCGAGAAGGGATGCGGGGAGTCAGGGGAATGAGCTGGGGAATATATAGTCGTGATGCAATAAAATAGCGCCACCCACTGGGTCCACCGGGTCCACCGGGTTGTTATCTCGTTGGCATCAACGGCAATGCCTCACTTTACTTCGCCTCCTGTTATGTGGCCCAGCGTTAAAGTAACCAAGAGAGCAAGACAATCTCAATCCTGAGGATTAAACGGAGATAAAGATAGGTCAGCTCCAGGGGCTGATACTAACACAGCACAGAGAGCACCATCAAGCTGCATAATGAACTCGTTAATTAACTATCAGGAAGCTTGATCAAATCTGATAGCGATTTTGCCACACGACTCTCTCAGACCAGTAGCTTTTACCTTGAATTTGTTGCAGGTGGAAGTTACTACTTGACTTTCTTAAAATCAGTTATTCGTGCTTTTATATAGTCCAGCTTTTTCCTCAACCGAGTGTTCAGATGGGGACCGGTAGACTCCTTGAGGATCCTCTGCACGTACAGTCCAAACAAGAGTTTGTCACCCCTTCTATAATTAGTTATATTCACTGCAATTAATTTTTAGATAATATTTCCATGCGTTAATTAGTTGAAGAAATAGCGATAGAAAATTATTGTATTGTATTTGATTTTATGAATGAATATTATATTGTTTAAACAAATTGATGGAAAGAAATTTTAGGGAATCGTCAGGAAATAAAAGAACAAAGTATTTTATTTTGAAATATATTTATTGAATATTCTAATTTCCCGAGAGACCGTGTTGATGGGAAATTTTAATAATTAATAACGACAAAAAGGTGTTGCGAATTAATCTCGAATTTTATACAGGCATCTGTTATCGCTTCGAAAAGATTATGTCAAAATTTCCGGCAATTCTTATATCTTCCCCGATACATGCCAAACAACCTTAATAATATGCTTTTATTCAGACTCCCAACGCCAATGCCGCGAGCTATGAGCATCAAAAAAAAAAAAATTATTTGATGGAAGAAGGGTTCAGGCTATGTATCCCCCAATTGTTTTTAATCGCTTCCCAAAAAATCCAGGTGCAACGAAAGGTGTTACCGTTTTCCGCGTTTCTATTTTTTAGGTGAAATTCGATTGTCTTAGAGCCCAAGAGTTTTCCGGGAAATGGCGATTTTCATGACAGGATTATAATCACGTGAGTCAAATAATAATTTTTGACTGAATGGCGAATCAAATTTTTCGATTCCCGCACACAACGAAATTATTGTGCATTTATTGTAAAATTAAAAAACGAATCTGTTAAGACTGGCAAGAAAGGCCGGGCTGGACATATAATCCGTGCATAAAACAAGCGTAGCTACAATAACTCTAATCCGAGTTCGGTGGCATTGGGGAGGCTAGTCCGACCATCCGCGTACCTAAATCTAATCTAATCTAATCTATTGTAAAATTAAAAAAATGAACTTGAGTCTATTAAATACATTGCCAGCCATTTTTTTAATCGAATGAATTTTTCCTGCATGCGCTCCCCATATGATGATCATAGGCGCCCCAAACACCAGTGGAATAAAAAGAAAAGATAATTCATGATGAACTCATGTGTAAATAAGTTTCCAAGAAGATGTATATGAAGCACTCGCGTGTTAACACTGCGCTCATTTGCCTGGTATGCAATTACACATGAATTGCCGCTTTTCCTTTTATTCCTCCACGTCTCAAGCTCAGCACGAATGAAGAAGAAATTAACATGAAGCTACCACGTTTGCATGAATATCGGAGGTGAAATCTCAGTTGACTCTTTGATGAGGGATAATCACAGCGATGACTCGATGAGTTCATATTCTGCATTCCCACAGTGCATGAATAGGGTGCAAGCCAGGAAGTGAATATAGATGTTCACATTTAAGGTTAATTCGTTGTATTGATTTTTCACCTGGCAAATAAAATATGCAAATTTTTAGTGGGCAATCACACCAACAATACAAATTCTAATCGCCCACACACATTGCGCATGATGAAGTTTTTATTGTCGAGGAGAAGGTGTACACATGGTGAATAAACGATTAAGCTGGACGACTCACTCACTGACCTAGCGTGCACCTGACCACATGCCGACAGGAAATCGCTATTCCTATGTACACACCTTGTGCCGTCCATTCACCTCCCTCTTCTCCAATCAATCTCCACTTCCCCAAATTGTCGTTAAATAAATTTATATCCCAACATACTCAGCGAATTACTCATGCAGATTCATAAAGTTTCCGATGCATTATATTGGCGAATGATATTATAACGCAGGACATGAGTGATGTACCTTGCGTGGGAGGTACTTATAATTATTGAAGGTTCTAGGCTCGAAGGGATAAATCCTACCAATAGTTTATAGATATTTAAATGTCAGACTTTATTACTTTAACTATTTTATCTGACTGATTACTGTGTTTTTTTATCTCAAGTATTTTTAATTAATAAAATAGAGGATATTTTTTGGAAAAATATGATCATGCAATAAAACGTCCACTTGGCAAAATTTTTTCACAAAATTGCTTTTACAATTTTTTATATTAATATTACCTTGAGTAATATTCAGATTCAATACCGATAAATAAATTCAATATTTAAATTATTTCGGTTAAATTAAGGCTGTTATTTTTATATTTAATTAATCATCCTGGTATCTAATAATGATGAGGACGAGACGAATGGTTGGTGCGACGATGAACCGGAAGTCGCTTGAAACACGCACGCGCATCGCACATTGAACCTGCAGTTGTGTTTGTATCTCGTCGATCGTAGGATAGACTCGACTATATTATAACGTCCGACTCGTCTTCCTGTCACATCTCATTACCATGGACAGTGGTTATGACAATTAGCATGGTAATTAATGAAATTGTGGTTTTCGTTATTTACTTCTGCAGGATTATAATGCTGAAGAAGGAAGAGATTACGTTTGTTGTTTTTATTTATTTTTTTTTTATGCGATTAGTGAAACACAGTTGCATTCACATTGTGATGTCGTCTGCTTCTTTATATTCAATTGCGACTAATTAGGCAAGTTGCATGATTACCTTTTGAGTGTATGAAATGAATATGGAGAACGTCGACAGACACCATTTGCCGTTGTGAAAACTCTCAGTGATTTATTGCTGAGGAAATTTATTGCGGCTTTCATTTGTTTGGGTTTTACATGAGCCGTTTTATGTGGTTAGAAAATCTAAATTTATTCTGGTATTTTAATAAAGTTTGTGATGGCTGCGGAAATTAAAGAAGCACTTTTATATGATTTTAATTATAGTTTATTCGTCGCGAATACCATGTTGCCGAATGTGAGAAATGTTGAGGGTGAGTCATAATGGTGATTGAATTTTTCGGTCCAACAAATGAATTAAATCATTTTCAGATAAGCAAAATGCGGTTAAGTGGCTTAGATTCCTGAAGACAAGTGCGAAATCTCTTCAAGAGTTGAATTTGAGAAATGAATTCATGGATCATCTTGTCAAGAGTGTTCAGGCTGGTGTGATGTCTCCGCCTTTTGATACTCCTCCACCGAACAGCTCACTAACATCAATGATCTCTCTACTGGTATTACAATCGAATTAATAGAGCTATTAACAAATTAATTTCATTATATCCATGTGTCTAGCCAGTGGTGGACTTGGATGCTGAAGACCCATCGTCATGTCGAGGCTCTCGAAGAACTTCTGCGATAATGCAGAGATCACCAGATGCTGGTGCTTTCCTCGCAGCTCAACCGATTCCAGATGTTGGCGCCTTCTGCTACGTCGCCGTTCTCACCAAGAAGAATAACTAAATTCCAATAATTATCTCTCAATCAAATAATAAAAATCATTCCATATTATTGACATGGCAATCAAGCATTTCTAATGATAGCTGGAGCAATTGATTGCTCATCAAGAAGAACCACAAAATATGAATAGAATTATTATCCTCTGAGGTAGAGTTAAAGATTTAAGAGATAGAGATTTTTGTCATTCGTCACGGCTACGAGGTTATAGAAGAATCATTAAATAACGACCGCTACATAACTTGCAAATTCGTTTGGAGAATAAAGCGTGCTGGAGGTTGGAGTTAACCAGTGGCGGTGGTATATGGACCTCATAACCCTATCTCATTTCATACCTGAAGAGCTCTCCTTCAGAAATGCATGAGTCCTGGTGCACACTGGTGGTAGCTTTTGCACAAGTGAGGGCTCTCGATATGCGTGGCAGATTCGGTTCCTCGCAATCTTCGGTCTCGTCGCCGGCACCTCTGACGCGCCGACGCGCATCGAACTGTCCGTGCAAATTTCAATTTTAACTGCTAATCTGCCAGCTAATAGCCACCCTACTACCTCAACTGCTTCCACCTTTCTCATCACAGTATTTTCTCTCTTCGTTTAATCATCAGGCCTCACTGTGCCAGTCTTTCATTTCAATGTCCTTCGTGCAGTTCGTTACCTCCGATTCCATTTACTAGCCAGAATTTCTCATTTTTCTGTACTTTTTACGTGACAATAAATAAAAAGTGTATTTTCATCTTTTATTTTTTTAACGAGGCGTATGGGACAATCAAGCTCGAGGGGAGTCGAAGCTACATGTGGCGATAATTATGGGCTTTCAGTAGTCGTTGTTACAGTTACTGTGATTATCATTATTTTTCTCGGTGAATGTGAAACATTTTTTTTTTTTTACAGTTTTGCAGTTTTCGGCAACCCTTAGAGTTCGATTCTGGGAGGGGTGAAACGGTTTGAGTCGATTTTTAGTTTTGAGTCGATAAATCTCGAAACAAATCTGAAACTTTTTTGTAAGGAAATAATAATTTCAAATTATTAGTATGAAAAACTCCCGAAATCAATTGAAATTCATTAATTAATTCCCACAAGTTCACACCAGATTAACAAAATAAATTAAATTACAAATTAAACCGGAATAAATCTGCCGAGTGCCAGAATTGAATTTGAAAAAATAGAGTGAATGTAAAATATCATTTGCAGTAATGTAACTAATGCAATTATTTAATCGATTAACAGGTGTTTATTTAATTAAAGGTTTCACGATTGAACAGTGTCGGACAGGAGATAAAAGGGTTTTTTCTCCCATTGAAGATTGAAATTTAAAATTGGTTTAAAATATGTTAGGAGCCGTAGAGAGACGGCTACTGTGCATGGAGTTAATAAAATAAAGATTAATATTGGTCTTTATGGAGGACGTCAAAAGCGGCGAGTGACCATCAGTCTCGCCGTGTCCGTTGCTCAGAGGTGAATAAGAGTGTATATAGTTATACGTGAGCTTGAACCGTTCATTCGCCACTTCGATGATTTATTGCAATATTTTGACGTGGAATATATCGGAAAGATGAATTGACCGGAGAATCTTTATGACTAAACTTGTGCCACCCTCTCCACTAGTCACCCCTGTCCCCACTTTTCTCTCAGTTTATAAACCCCCCTCGATCCTTTATTTATTTATTTTTTTAAATTCAAGTATTAATCATATTCCATCAATTAAAAATGAATAATTATTAATTATTAATACGCCATTAATTTTTCTCTATTACACCCACATCAATTTTAAAAAAGAAATAAAATACTGATACTGCATTAATAATTAATAAATAATTAATATCAATAATTATTGATCTGAATACAAGTATTTTAATCATTAATAAGTTGAATTTGTAAATTAATATATTTTTTTTTTTTGCTAAATTTACTGCTAAATTGATTGGGAATGAATTATTTATTTTTACGTGGATTATTATTTGTGTTGGTTTTATTTAATTGTCTCATTTATTGTTTCCTCATGTTTTCCATTGTCTATAATAATGATAATGTTGATTGTTAATTTCGGGGATCTCAGAATCCTACGCGGAAATTCAAGAAACCAATTCTAATAAATCGTCCAGCATCCAGCGGTGTTTTTCAACTCAACAAATGACCCATCAACATTGTCATTGTCTTCACCAGTTTTTCATTAAAAATTCATAAGCACATTCATGGGTATTTTCTGATTATGAAGACAGCGTTGACGCCCACGATTTATTTGCATGCAATCACCTTGATTTCACAAATGATTTACGTTAGAAAGTTGGTAGGAAAAAAAAATGAAGCTTTACCGTTAAATTATTTATGTTAACGACTCAATTTGTCGGAGAGATTGCATCGAATGTTTATTGTTTGATTTTGAATGGCCAGGGGCTATTCCAACGAATGATGAGATCCCCTGTTTCTTTGGGGGAGAAAAAATGGTGATAAAAAAATTGATGGTGGGAGACGGTTGTCCCCTCGACCGATGGGAAGTTTTTTTTTTTTTTTTTTGCTTTTTAGGGAAATGGAATATTTGCATAGACCCGCTGCGGGATCAAGAGCCTGTGACGAATCGCTGGGAAGATTCACTGCCCTTTCATATTATCCTCTATGATTTTTTATTATTTGCATCTGTAGGAGGGGAGGCGCGTCGTTATTTTGATTTATTATTATTCAAATCAATTAAATTCTAGCAAATGAATCATTCCGTCTACTGCTGTAATTTTTTCTTCACTTGAGTACTCATCAGGAATTTTTGAAATTAAAAATGGAATTATCCTCCCGAATAATCAGTATTTCAGTGAATTTTTTTTTTAGCTAAAGTGTTATAATTCGAGGTTGAAAAAGCGTCGAAACCTCGTGCAATTTGGTTGTAACCATTGGCCTCAGTTTTTTTTTTCAACCGGTGAATATTCCAGTGGAATAATTGGTTGAAATAAAAATTATCCGTAATTCACGTAAACCTTGCCTCCTACCAGTGATGATTCCACCCCTTCCGAATGAGCCAGGAATCAATAAATAAAATACTAAAAATCATTTTACCACAATTAAATCTCGGTGGAACCTCAAGATTATTATTTTCTGTTAATGCAAACTCGTCACGCGAAGTTCAGCGGTCAGCGATGATAATTCCTGAATTTTTTTCCATCAATCATCCGCCAGTTGTCCCTTCACTCGCCCCAACCCGCAAATACAAAAACACTCACAAGACCTCCAATCCAATTTTCTTCACCTCCCCCTCCCCTCACCAATAACAATTCAATGCCTCTTAAATAACCAAGCCGGAAATGTGTGATGAAACACCAAAACCAGTAAACTGAACAATAAAAAATGCATAAAAAATAAATAAAAAATACCGAGAGACTAGTGACTATTTAGTAAATAAAGTAAATAATAGGAGAATGATTTAGTTGTTTAAATGCAGAAGATAATGATGGTACGACATCCGGTGATGACAATTGGATGAACGCGTGCATGGCAATTTGTTGTGGTGGGGGGCAAGTGAGACAAGACTTTTGCCTCGCAAATGTGAAAACTCGTGGAGTTTAAGTGGCTCAACTAGCCCCGGTACTTTGATCGTAGCCGCGCCTCATCTTCCCCACATCTTGTGAATATACAATGGATTGACGCTTTTAAAGTGTTAGTAATACTCAGTGTTATGCCCACCAGCGAATGTACGTACAAACGATGGATGCCATGGTCGTGCATCAGTGCCATTTACCATTTCTTCCACGAACGTTGTTACCATTACGAGCAAGAAGTTGAAGGCATAACGCTGGTTACGTCCTCAAAAACCCCCCCCCACATCTCCCTCCATCCCCCTCCATACCCCTCCATCACCCCCCTCAACTCCCCTCCCCCGCACTACTTCGCACAACTTTAATTGCCCCCAACGCTACTTAATCCCACCGAAACCTCAACATTTTCCCCGTCCTCTCTATAATATCAATTAATCTATTTAACTTTATCCATTTTTTACTAATCATCATCTTGAAAAACCATTCACTATTTCACCTGAATAATTATTAATATTTTTCCTTTATTTTATTTCTACCAGGATGTCAATTTTTTTCCATTTTTTTATCATCTTCAACCGTGGGAACCTCACAATCGATCTCTCCTCTATAATTTTTACAATAAAAAATGTAACGCATTTAATAGAAAAAAATGCAATCAATATTTCATCTTGTTGGAATTGTTAATTGTACAGGACTAATTACTCGAAAAATTAGAATACATCATCTTAATTGATTTCACCAGATCTTCCACGAGACTGAAATAATTATTCATTTTTAATTGATGGAATAAATTCATCAGAATCAGATAAATAATTCGTGAAATCATTTTTTTTAATTAGGTAATTTATTCAAGTCTAATAAATCACTCCTGATGCATTCTGCGAAATGATCAATTCACTTCAAATGAATTTACTTAACCTCAATGAAAGGCGAGTAAAAAAAAAGTGGGATGCGTTAACAAAATGGAAGAGTACGAATACAGAAATAAATGGAATGAGATGAATAATTTAGCCGAGTGGATGATACAGAGATTTTTATAAATAAACTATTGGAATTGATAAGGCTCTCGTTCAATATGAGCCAATACCTCTAATCAATCAAATCACTTCCACTTGTCTCATCATTAAAAATATATAAAAAAATAATGCTGAAGGCCCCCCACGGAAAATGATATATTCGAATGAAATATATCCGAATAATATCCGAATATATCTGGATATATTATCGACCAAAATGATATCAACCTTCGAAAATATATTCTTAGGCAGCGAGTATTTATTAATAAATAATTTTTCATGAAAAAAATTACTTTGAAATATTGTTAATATAAATATATACCAGTCGATATTTCTCTGTTGTCGACAGACGATTCCTGGTTCAACTCGAGGGATTCCCAGGAGCAGTAAAATGATGCAGTCGTCACGCTCTGCATCGCTGGCACGCGCTCATGCATTTTCCTCACCCACGTAAAAATGTCAACGAATTTTATGGTGACATACACGCAATGTCGTACACACTGCGACATATATGAAACATCGAGTTGAAACAGTAATCGGTCAATTTACCTCAATCCCT